GATCTGATTCCTATGCATACCATCCGGTGAAATCCAGGTATCTAACCTGCGTTTATGTCTCTTAAGAAATGTATTTGCTATGCATAAGTCATTGATTGTGCAAAATTCCATCATTCTCTCTCCAGCTCCATTTCTGTCACCAAGTCCATGTTTTCCAACTACTGAATCTTCTTCTTTGTTACCAACTTTTACAATTGGAGATTGATAGAACATGCAATAAAAATAATACTTTGGCCAAATGAGTGATATTAGAAGTGAACACTTTGGACCTAAATGGTATCAGAGAACAGCGACCAGAAGGAGACCTGCCCAATAAACTTTGAACTCTCTGTGGCATCATCTCAGTGGTTCAGGCTCAAGCTCCAAGGTCCACACAGAGAATGAGCCATAATTAGAGATTCATCTCACAAGCAAGAGGCCTTTTTCTTTTTATCTTTTTTCCAGGAAGAAGGCTCATCCCTTTGAGGGTGTAACATTCTAATAATTTATCATTGCTATTCCTCCTCATTTCTGCCTCTTCATCTCTTTCTTCTCTTCCCTGTGCTCTAACAAAAGGCTTCCTTCTATACTTTGATGCTCCAGACACTAAAGTCTGCTCTCCCATGAAAAATTAAAATTGCTGTACTTTGTACTACCTTGGTACTTGAATACCATTCTCTATCACCTACAACGAGTGTAATTCTTTCACCTGGGTGAGAAGGGTGAACTAGGGCCCTCCCCACACGGTAATAATCTCTCAAACTTAGAATAAAACTCACACTAGTGAACAATAACACCAGCAAAACACTTAATCCTTAGAATAATTGATAATGTACAGTTTTGATCATGTGAGAACAAAAGAACAGCATTTGCTCACTTTCCCCCTATAATTCAGATTTCCATTAACCCTTTATCCTACCTTCAAGGCTTTATGCTTGGGAAAATGTTGCTTGTTTGGTGTGTTGGGTATTTTTGTGTGTGTGTGTGTTTTCGTTTTTTTACCTTTTATCATCAAAGCCTTCTTTGTTAGGTTATTATAATGAATAAATAGGTGCTGGAATACTGTGTGTGCCTATTGTTTGGCTGAAATTTCAGCTTTTAACGTGAGTTTTTGTCCAGGTTCAAAGGTGGCTAAGGGCCATAGTTTTTGCATTTCATGAGTCTCTGTCAGACCAGTAAGCCTAGCCTTTCTTACAATTTTGAGTTCTATTCAACATATAATTTCCCCCTATTCTATCCAAAATCTTTCACTGTTATCCCTGTTAGAGTAGTCAGGAATGGTAAACAGGATACAATCTAGTTCTGGTCTCAGAGTTAATGTCCTTATTTCTTATTATATGAAGACACAAATTGTAAATTTGTGAATGTTCTGGTAAATCATTCCCTGAAATCTCTTTGTGTGCAAGTTCGTACTGAATATTTTAGAAATTAAATCAGAAATTTCAAAATATTATATTTATATATACACATTGCTAGAAATAGGCATGTACTTGCTTTTTATTAATTCTCTGAACTGCCACCGTATTCTAGTAATGAAAATTCAAGGTTTAAATTCTAGACTGGTATATTTATTTCTTTGTCAAATGTTCATTCAATATGTTCAAATTCTGAGCTGGACATTGTGCTAAGCTCTGTGGAAAACATAAATACTTCTATAAGCAATACATGTCCTCAAAGAGTTTACTGTATTTAGAAATACATTGGTTCTTTCTTGTAGTAATGTTTTGTAGTTTTCTTGGAAAAGGTCCTTTGTACTTCTGGTTAAATTTATTCCCAAGTATTTAATCTTGTGATTAGCTATTGTGAAAGGTATTGTTTCTCTTAGTTCTGGCTCTGTATTCTTTTTGTC